GGACTGAAAGTCGACTCGAGTGCCCTGGGCAGCGTCAACAAAGGGGGTTGGTGGGGGACAACCTCCTTCGCCGTCCTCCCCGAAGTGACAAAGGAGCATACATTTGCCCTGACCTTCTTCTTCCAACTAGTAAGCATATCCATATCCATATCCATCCATATACACACCTACATCACATACATATCATCACCCCCCTTTTGCAACCCCCTTCTAACCCTCCCCGCAGCTCCCCCTAACCAAACTCTGGCTCCACCCCTTCTGGCCCACCTTCCTCGGCTCCGTAACCCTCTGCGGCTTCTCCTCCTTCCTCTTCGGCTGGCACGTGCACGAAAAAGCCATCCTCCTAGTCCTCATCCCCTTCTCCTTCCTCGCCCTCCGCGACAGGCGGTACTTCGGCGCCTTCCGGCCCCTCGCCGTTGCAGGCCACGTCTCCCTCTTCCCCCTCCTCTTCACCGCCGCAGAGGCCCCGATCAAAATCACATACACGATCTTCTGGCTCGTGCTGTTTATGTTTGCGTTTGAGAGGCTTGCGCCCGTCCCCGTGCGGCCGCGGGTGTTTTTGCTAGATCGGTTTGCGATGTTGTATGACTCGGTAGCGATCCCGTTGGTTGTTTATTGTTCGATTGTGCATGGATGGGTGTTTGGAAGGGGGAGGTATGAGTTTTTGCCATTGATGTTTACGAGTTCGTATGCGGCTTTGGGGGTTTTGGGGAGTTGGGTGGGCTTTATGGTTGTTTATTTTACTGAGTAGAGAAGGGGAGAGTTTCCGAAAAGCAAGCGGGAGGGAGCGGGGCAATTCCAATTACTGGCATGTAGGATAAGTTTGTGCAAGATGGTATTTTGAGGGTGGTTTAACTTAAAAAGAGTGGGACGTCACTTTTCCTTTATTTTTCTTCTGGTAGGTTTTGGCAGTCTGCCATACAGGTGTGTTTATGTCTGTATATGGGATACGGAGATATTTGAGGTGTATTGTGAAGCTCTTTGTTAGTATGAAACCAACATTATCCATAATTAAACTCTATGATCCTGATGAATTTGGAATAATCCTTATCCTTTGAATAGTTCCAACCTACATCATCTTATACGTGTCTATGAAAATTGAAACCGCCCCGTCATCAGTTGAATGCCCGATGTAAGACGGGCAATGAGGTTGAACTGGAAAAAGTAACTTGACAGGGAAATTAGATAGAATGCATTTATCACAAAGCCTAAGTGCTGGAGCTTTCCCTCTTCACCGTAATTTGACGATAAAGCCGTGTATGGGCCCGGTGAACCATAAGGGCGGACTAGGAACCGGGGGTGTTTCGACTCCTTTTCACTATTTCTTGGGAATGCTAATAGCCTCTTGGTTAAAAACAAATACAAAAGACTTCCATTAAAAGGAGCAGCCAATTCTGCGCAGAACGAGGGTAAATATGGGGGGTGGGTTGTAGACGGTGGTGCCCTGGGTGGAGGCGTTGAGGAGAGCAACGAGCGAGATGGAGCGGGTGGGACCTTTCGAGGGGGCCGAGCTGGGTTTGTCGCCCGTTTTCTGGTACTTCGTAAAGTATAAATCATCAGAGCGGTTGAACCAAGCCCGGGATACGGAGCGCTAAGGGGAAGGGAGAAAAAAAAAAAAAAAGTTACGAGCAAACATCAAAAACATGCCGGTGTGGGGGGGGGTAAGGTAACCAGATCTGGTTGCCAGATGATTTTTTGGGTGTTTTGGGGATAGGTTATGATGGAAGGACTGTCTAGGGAATTCAGTTATGAGTGTGAATGATGTGTCTCTAGAACATCTCGCCTGTAGTTAATTAACTGTAACTACTTACAGTCAAACTAGTTCCTCATGTTCGTTGTTCTATGCAGGCAACAACTTAACTGTCTGAGTGAAACATTTCCCGCCTCATTCACCAGGCAACTGGAGAGGAAGCATGCAGTCGTCAGGTAGAATCTCATCAACCTCTTCATCCAGTAAATAATGCAAAGAGTCCACTTACTCTAATTCATTCTTCCCATCTCTCTGCATCTCCCTCAAGTTGTTCCGCGGTGTCTTGCCCCTCTCAGCCGTCTCCCGTATCCCCCCCCCCTTCAGCAGTGGACCCCCCCCCCCCCCTTACCTTTCCTGGGCCTGCCGCCATGTCCGCGTTTTATTGGGGTCTGCCCTCCCGGATGACCTCCACCCGCACCCATTCCTTCCAACCCCCACACAGCCCTCCCCCCTGACCGAGCTGACCCCCCCTCTAATCCGCACCCTTCCTAGCCGCACACCCACCTCATGCGGCTCCTTGACCTGCCGAAACTTCTCTCCCTCTCCCACCACCACCACCACCACCGATAACAGCACCACCAACTACCGCCCTACCACCTCCCTCCGTCTTCTGCCTCCTCCACCACCATCTACAACTTTATCCGTGTTCCTATCGAGATCCGTCCCCTTCTCCGATTCCAGACGCGTCCTTCCTTCTCCACAGGTATTTCTACACCTGCCCCCTGCATTGCCCTTTGGCCCTCGACATACCACCAGGCGCGTATTTGTTTGGACGAGCCACTTGCTGCACTTCCTTTTTCACCCGGTATACGGATTAGAAAAAAAAAAAAAAAAAAAAAAATAGTTATGCTCTTCTTGGCAATAACTAGTTACCCTTCACTGTCTTTTCTATAGATCTGCGGAGAAAATATCCCATATATTTTTCCGTATTATCTGTTTTATTACCTTCACTGACAAAACCACTCCCACCCGATCTTCTATATAGACCGCCCACGAAAATTCCGTGACCGCACACAATTCCCCCCCTCGAGCTAGTTGGGCACACAAACAAAATCGCGTGGACTACTATCCGCCTCGCCATCATTTGACATTGTGTTTTGTATTGTCTTCTCCAGGCCCGGACGGGTCAAGGTAGTCTGGAGTCGCCATCCTCAACATGGTACGTGGAATTGCTCCCCGGTCCCGCGAACAGCTCTTCTCTGAAAAAGAACATTGATATATGGGGAAACTTTACACCTTGCGACCCGGGATAATAAGTTAACGGAGGCGGACTTTCCTACCTTCTCTGTTCTAGGTCTTGTTCAAGCGCAAACCCGTTCAATACCTTCCTCGACCAACCATTGAAGATGATAGAGAGGAGGTGCGTACTACATACTCCTCCCTTTCCACGTTCTCCGTTTCCTCATCCAAATCTATGGATATCGGTCTAATGTATGGGGTTATTTGTCATGGCAATACACAGGTCTGGGTTATTCCAGAAACAAATGAGGTGTTCACGATGTATGAGCAGTTCCTTCATAGGTAAGCTTCGGTAAAACTTCAAAATGATGATTATGCACTGCACAAATTGCTGACATGTCTGCAATGTGCAGGATGAACTTTTACAAACAGGTACATGCAACCTTTCTCAATCAAGCTTCAGAGTCTTTCTGATTGCAGTCGCATTCCTCATATATCCTCCTTCCCATTCTGAAGGACTTGTTTACTTATATTCGAACTGTATCGATATACTAAATAAGGATACTTGAGGTACACAGAGACGATTCATCTGCGAAATAACGGGACACTCCTCCCTTACTTTTTTCGAGGCTTTGAGGAGTGAAGTATGTCGCATACCAACTTCATCCCATCACTGTGATTCTATAGTGATGTTTCCGCTTGCTTTACTGACTTGCCCAACAGGCGGACGGTTCGCGCGAAGTGAATAGCGCATTTCCGGAGCCTCTGAAGGAACCTGTTTTGCGCAAAGTCCAATTTTCCACTATATCGCGAATTGACAGTCTTGGTGTGTTAACCCTTTCATAATATTCAGAAATCTAGTTCTGAAGCTGATCGCAATGTCTTTGAAAAAAAAAATAGTCGACCAAGTTTTCGAAGTATGTCCCTTCTGGCGCCGTTCTACAAACTCTGTATTATATAACTGACAAATCAAAGGACTTCAAGCAAGATTTCTACCCTGGCGAACGCGTTACCGTTCTCCTCACCAACGGATCCCGCCTCCAGGGCATAGTTCGGGAAAAAGCCCGGTTTCCTGAATTGGTCAATGAAGATGGTACGATAGAGCGAAGAGCGTCATCGAGATATTTGGTGAAATTGGTAAACCGGCACAACGAGGAGGCGTTGTTGGACGATGAACACCTAGTTCGTGACCGGAAGATCTTTACAAAGCAAATGCTACGCTCTTTCATCAAAAATACCGTTACACGGGAATCGTGGACTGGCGCGCCATGGCTGGTTAAACCGCATATTGCTGAGGAATATAGGATCGATACGGAAATTCCGAAACACCTTCAATATGGAAACAAGATTGGAGGAAAGAAAGCAAATGTGGCAGTGGACAAAGAAGAGGATGAAAGCCTCTTTGGGTTCTTTTATTCCAAACAGCGTTGGCCGAACTTGAAACCTGCTGTCAAGGGCCAGAAGACAAAAATCACGGTGCGGGACCTGGCGAAGGCCAGAGAAGATCAATACTTAGAATACCAGCGGGCGCTGAATGAAAACCCTTCGTTTGCTGTTCCTGGACACGTCGGTCCGGGAGGAGTGTGGCAGATGCCTGAAGGTGACGCCAACTTATATGCTAATGTTTCCGTCGTCGTTCAAAATGGGGTCGCCCCACCACCTCCTCCACCTTCGATTAAATACCCGATTGAAGATTTAGAAATCCCACCTTCTCGTGACGCTAAACCACGACCCCCTTTGAAGTTCTTAACCGATGAGCAGCAGGGCAAACCGTGGATGGAAGACGGCCTGTTAATTGGTTCCATTAAGATGGAATCTGTTGGACCTATGCTCGAAACCTGGAACACACTTAATGTGTATTGCGAGGTTCTCCAGCTCGACTCCTTCACGTTTGATGATTTCGTCGAGGCCATTATGTTTTCTTCGAATGACGTTACATGTGAGCTCTTTGTGGAAATCCATTGTGCCGTATTGAAGACGCTGGTGAGCGGTGAGAAGGACCAAGATGGTGCCATTCAGATCTCCCTTCCGCCCCTTCCTGATGAAGAATCAGAGGAAGAGGAGAGTGGTGAAGACGACGAAGGAGAAAATGAAGAACCAGAACCCGAGCGAGAGCCAACACCTCCACGAAGAACGACGAGAAGCAGCTTTGCTAAGGCTGAAGCGGGAAAATCTGAAGCTGCAGCAACAACAGCAGGAATCGCGGAGTCGTTCGAGTACAGCTGAGGTGCAGGTTCATCGCGCAGCAGAGATGTTTGGAGAGTATGGCTGGGTTGACCGG